TTTATGGATAAAATAATACAGAATATCTGTACTTCTCATCTGTATAATAAACAGTACTGTTTGTAGTGGGTTTTTTATTATAAACTGAATGAACTGGAATTGTCAGCAAAGAACTGAAAGATCAACGTAGCAGCCACTGTTAACTCACCAAAATGAAGTCTATATTTGATTAATGAATTTATCCAATTATAATATAGTTGTTTAAAACATTAAGATAAAAACTGAGTGAATATGATCCTTACTTTCACGGGGTTGTTAACCCGAGGAGTAGATGCTAAGTAACTGTGAAAACTGCTTCACAGAAGTACAAAGTGCTTGACAACTAGTAAATAGTGCGTTGTCTAAAGTTTATATGGTGAGGGAAAATTTGTAGGAACTTATTACTTAGCAAAATTAAGGGAAAACAGCTGGTGAAGAATGTCCTAGGCAAAGATGAGAGCCAGTCTATAGGACAGGAGTAGAGTGGTGGGACAGGTAGCTGTAAGGGGATCAGAGGTCAAGTCCGGAGGATTCGCCCAGCTCTGGCCACCCTCATCCCATGACCTGAATTCCCGTCCTGTCCCTGGAGTCATAGATAGGTAGCTGATACGTGAAGTCATAAGGTTGCTGGAATTCCTAGGAGTGGTTCAACAAAAGCTGAGTCAGTAATGGAAACTTGAGAAATTTCCACTCTGAGTACTTAGAAAAAAGACTACTAATCTCTGCTAGTTCATCAGAAAGAATAATTTGTGCTTTCATTTTTGTTTGGTCATTTTCCCATGCCAGTATCTTGTAATCTGAACAACTACTTTGAAGATACCAATATCAACTACTTTGAAGATACAATAGAGTAAGCAGTGTTAATCTGCTCTTATTTTGTTTTGAAATTGTGTATCATTTTTATTTTTTAATAAAAAAGTTTTAAAAAGTATAATCTGGCAAAGGACACTAAAAACTGGTCTTCAGAGTGGTATCAGGGATATCAGAAGCCACGAAGAGGGACTAAAGAGAAAAGTCCAGGGCTACTGAAGGGTAGAACAAGATCAAATTGGGCCAGTTACTGACCAGATTAAAATTTTTCAATAGTAATGGATGGGTGGAAGAAAAACAGGGGAAAATAGAAAGAGACTGGTGAATAAAGAGGAAGTAAAGTTCGATGGATGTAATGGAAAAGCAGTTCTGGGAACAGGAGATTTGATTTTTAAGTGCAGACAATAAGCACAAGCATAGGAGAGCAGGTGAGGAAAGACTTCTCAGTGCCTTGAGAAGTGGATCATCCAGCCGATGGCAGACTGTGGATGTGACTGGGAATGAAAGGTCGGGTACAGGCATGAAAGGTTCAGCTGCAGTAAGGAGCTGTGCAGCTGAGCTGCTGAATGGGCCGTTCATGTGCCTGCCAACGTCGCCCACAGTTTTAACCCTGCTGCAACTGGCAGGGGCAAAAACAACTCAGCTGCTGGAGTCTTTTTGAGGACTTTTCATGAGGACTGCAGATAACTAAAAGTGCGATGGTGGGACTGTCAAAGCAGGCAGGAGGTGAGGATTCTCCAGACAGCCTCAGGAGCAGGGGATCACCTGCCTGAGGAGATGGGATGTAGAGGAATAAGGAAGTCGACTGCACGAACAGAATAAGTGACATCCTCCAAAGGAGATCTGGGCAAAGTAGGAAGGAAGAGACAGTGTCTGAAAGGCAGCTGAATGGCTAGTGAAGCCTGTAGACATACTGCGAAGTTCACAAGGCACAGTGGAAGAAATTAAGAGCTAGGGTAGGGAGAGAAAGGGGGAAGAGTTGGAGGTTAAAGAAGGCAACTGGGTAATGAAGAATGGAGCCTTGTAGCGCTTTTACTGTAACAGGAACATAAATGCCTGTGTGTGGTGTGGACACCAGGGGTATGGAAAGAAAGCTGAAGCCAACCGGAGAGAGCTGTGTAGTAACTTAAGGACCATCTCCCTCCCTTTAGGGCAAGGCTGGGAAAGGAGCCCGGCTGTCGCAAAGCCAAGCAGAGACTGGAAAATCTGACAGGGCTGGACTAGAGACTCCACTGTGGGACCGCCTGCAGCAAAATGAGGCTCTTGGTTTCTGGGAGACTAAATGTTCATAACCTGAGCACTGCGCCAGCAGCTGGCAGCAGGAAGGATGGAGCTGTAACAATGGACCTCTTCTGGTCAAGTGGGTTTTTCTCTCCTTGGTCTTTCACAACAAAGGTTTCAGGTTAACTTTTTTTTTTTTTTTTAATTGAGTACTTCTTTACTGCACTATGGAGTGTATTATGATATAGGCAGTGTGCATGAACTGTTAGATTTTCCCTAAATATTTTAATTTTAAAAATTAAATCTGGAAAGGAAAAATCATGAGGCTACATACCTGCTTTCATCTGGTTTACAGTTCAGTACTGAGAGACTGTGGTTGAATATCATTCTAATCATTTGAAATTAGAATATGTTTCAAAGATATCTAAATGAAAAACTGGAAATTTGTTATGTGAAGTCTGAACTTGTGTCTTTCCAAAAACTATTTGATAATATTAGTCTGATAGTAGATTTTAAAATGTACACTGTATGGTGGACTCGTGATAACATATGACTGAATCAAATGTTAACAAATGTAGTGGCTTAATTTAACTAATATCACTTTTCAAGCTTCAGTCTTTTGAATTGTCTCTGATACTATTACTGGATCCTATCATTTGTGATTATAAAAAGAATTTGGAGCCAGGTGTGGTGACACATACCTGTAATCCCTGTGCATTGAGAAGTTGAGGCAGGAGGTTTGCATTCTCAGTCCAGCTGAACAATTTGGCAACTTAGCAAAAAGTTGTCTCAAACTAAAAAATAAAAGGACTAGGAATGTCACTCAGTGTGAAAGTCCTGGGTTCAATCCCAGTTGGATAAAGAAGGAAGAAAGAAGGAAAGAAAGAGCACGCAAGCATGGCAGCACATGCCTGCAACACCAGCATTTGGGAGACTAAGGCCAGAGCACAGTCATGAGTTCAGACCAGACTGAGCCACACAGCGAGAGATCTTGTTTTAAAAAAAATAAAACAACAACAAAAAACAAAAAAAGGAAGGAAGGAAGAGAAAGAAAAAAGAGAAGGGAATGAAAGGAAAAAGAGAAAACTACTATCTACAACTGACTTACAGTTCTATATTTTAATTCTCAGCTTTAACAATTTCAACAACTTAGTACCAGAGTCTGTGTCATATTTATATTGGCATTTGCACAGCCCACCCACTGTTTGGGATTCGGAATGTACCAGGTACCTGTTACCACTTAGCACTTGTGACCATGAGGAAAACCCCGCAGCTCCAGTCACACTTATTTAGATTATGTGGCTGAAATTTAGCTGAACCATGTCGGTGTCAGGTGACTGGGGCTGGTTCCCTGGAATCTCTAGGCTCTTGTGACTGTGGTTGCCTCAACTCTGACACTTGGGGTCACTTCTCCTGCAGCTCACTGAGCATGCCTGTCTGCCTGCAGGGTCTAGGGAAAGGGCAATCTCCAGCAAAGCCCACTGAGCTAGCACCTTGCAGGTCTCCATTTGTATCTGCACCCTGCTGTTCCCAAGGAAACCATGGGGAGAAGCCAAAATGCAAGGAAGTGGGCATGGCCAAGGTCTGGGTAAAGGATATGCCTGCAGGGAGTAGAGAACAGAGACCATCAGCATGACCAGTCCTCTGCACTGAGAAACCTGAGAGGTGAGTCCCAGAGGAAACAAAACTGTGCGAAAGGACAGAGGAAGAGTCCCTCCAGGCTGCTCACTGTGTTAACGTGGGTGAATTATTCAACCCTTTCCAAGCTGTGAAAGTCTTTGATTTTATAAAATCAACTCTTCACGAAGATGAAAATTTAACGGAAAGTTACTCATTATCCTCTCTTATTAAGAACCGAAATGATTGGCTAATTTTGACAAAAAAAGTTTCCAATATTTTGTAATCACATTAAACTGATAAAATTTCTAATTTGAATTTTGGTTGGAAATGAAATGCTGAAGTTTAATCTCCTCGTTAGATTGTCCTTAGAAGCTTTTAGCTGATGAATGTTTTTATTAATCTTACATGGTACGAGCGATTGAACCCAGGGCCTCCTAACTAAGACCCAGGCCAGCCCTTTTCCTATGTTTTATTTTGATGCAGGCTTTCAATAAGTTGTTGAATTCCTAACGCTGGGCTTGAATTTGTAACTCTCCTGGGATTACAGGCATGCGCCACCCCACCCAGTTTGATGAGTCTTTTAAGTACACAATGGGTCAGTCTAATGTCAAACGCCGTGTCATTACTGATGCAAGAGAAGGTACAGGGACCGCTGATGCTCTGGCTTCGTGATTCATTGTTATGATGAATTATTACTCTTAAATAGACTAAAGAAGCTTTGTCCAATTTTCAGGATGCTGATAATAGTGTATAAATTTTGAGTAGGTGTTATGATTTGATATAACAAGTACAGATGATACACACATGACAGCCATTCTTCATTAAAGAAATGCCATTTTGTAATATATAATGACAGTCTAAGATTACTTTAACTATATGAATAGGAGCTATGTAAAAATGTTCTAAATGGAAATTATTTTTACAGCCTTCAAAAAAGAATCATAGGGCTGGAAATTTAGCTCAGCGGCATAAGCACCTGCCTTGCAAGCAGGCGGTCGTGAGTTCAATCCCTGGTACTGATAAAAAGTTAAAAAAAAAAAAAAAGAGCACAAAAAGAAACATATATCTACGTTTCACATACACCCAATTATATGTCTTTGAAAATGGAGTTTGAAGATGACTTTGGCACCCACACCAACTTCTTATTCTAGTCAATCAGTTTACCTAAAAATTTCCACAGCTACATTACCAAAATACATTGAGACTGATGTAGTTTCTAACCTGTTTTGGCATGGAATTTGTTTTCTTTAGACATCCAGAAAAGACTTTCCATCTGATGGATGCTTATCCTTGACACATATCTGGAAAACATTTGTCTTCCACTGATAACTTACCTGTGAAATCAGTCACTCTGGCCTCTGTCATTTCAGAGTCACCGTGCAGGCACAGCCAAGAACCCTCCTTCACATCGAGCTGGCCTGGGTTTAAGAGCAACAGTCGCTTATCAGGATGATTTGGCGAGAGACAAGAACAAGCGTGGACCACCACAGCTGCAGGCACCAATGTGAGTACAGACCCGTTAAGCCCCTGAGAACCCACGTCAGCTGCTTGCTGGACAGAAGCCCAATGTGCAGATTCCTACTGGCATTTTGTTAGCATTTGTGGCCCGGGCCTGTGTCTCTCACTGAAGTTGTTTTAAGTGCAGCATGACATTCATGTGGTGTTTTGCACTGTTCAAATTGTGCCTCTCTTTTATGGTTTTCATGGACACATTGCTGTTTTCTGTCAACACTGATTGTACTGTCACTTTAATCATATGCTGATAGTTTTGGTAGAAGAACAAACAAGAAAGATTTACAGCTTCAAAAGAGTTTTAGCGGGGTGTGGTGGTTCATGTCTGTAATCCCAGCATTCAGGAGGCTGAAGCAGGAGAATTGCTGTGACTTCAGAGCCAGGCTGGGATACATAGTGAGACCCTGCCTCAAAATAACAGTAAATAAACTAAAAATCAATAAATAAGAGGTTTATTTAAACAGATTTTCTAATTTTAAAAAGCATCAGATTAGCAGTCAAATGCAGACTTGAATCATGATGGTTTATAGCAAGGATAGTATAGTATTTTTCATTGCTATGAGGGGAAAAACAAGACCAAATGTACTTGTGAAAGATCTTGATAGCATTCACTTGAGGCATCCGGACTAACTTGTGTATGGTGGAAATTGGAGATGAGTTACCAAGGGAAATAAGCGTTTTCTTTTTTGGCAATATTTTACACGCAGCAAACCAGCTCAGTTTCTATTAAACTTTATCACTGAAACTTCACATTTACTTTGTAGGAAAATTGTAATTACTCTTAAGCATATGGTAGTTCCTTTTCCTTCCTTATTTGGTTTTGTGGCTGGCACACTCTTTCTCCAAGGACATGTAAAAGTCAAAATACTAGACGTAAAGTCTCAGAAGTGTTTCTGCTCCAAACTCTGTCTGTGCAATCTCAGTTCTTTCATGTAGTTAGCTTACTGGCTTCTGATACTCCTATAAAAATATCCCATAGAGCTTTTCTTATTACCTTTTCATTGACTCTGTCTGAGTGATAAAAATGAAATTCTGTAAAGGGGTTTGAAAACCATGCATATAGCAATTCCTCCACATTTCAAATACTAATCAAGTATGACTATAAAAGAAACAAGCACTACAGTGAAAATTGCTGCAGCGTGCTCAGTCTCAGGCCATTATTAATTCATTGGCAACTGTTCTTTTTTTTGTTTTTTTTTAAGATTAGGGATCCTAAAAAAAGTACCAGATAACACAATCCCTGAGATCAAAGTTTTTCTTCAAATCACAGGGAAACTTGTTATCCAGCCTCGCCTGTGTGCGGCTCTGGGATACTGCGCTGCACCCAGAGGGCATCTTGTAGAGTGTCTTGCAGACCACGGAAGCCTCAGCCTCGGCACAGGGTCTGTAAAGTGCTGGACTGAAGGACAAAGAGGACCTGGAATTAAAATAGTGATTCTATGCCGTGGTGCGGTGTAGCTTCCTTCAAGACCCTAAAGAAAAATCGCCTTTCTTAGGTTAATTTCAACATGTATTTACTTAAAAATTACCCCCAGGCACACTTGCAATATTTTTGCTTTTCCTTCTGTCAATGCAATAAAGTATAAACTTTTCATTATGAATTATTATAATTTCATACATGAGACTACAAAGTAAAGTCGAGCAAAACTTAAAAATTTCAGACTTTTTTTTTTTTTTATCTCATGAAGATCAGGCATGTGTCTAACTGGATTGGGACTTAACTTCCATGGCTGGTGTGGCTGGCTCACCCTGACATGCGTAGTCCTCCTTCTAGTTCAGGGTGGATAAATGAGAGTCTTTCTGAGTTTGTCCTTCCTTTGTTCCTCAAATCTTCCTTCAATGGCATTTTACCTATTCATTTTTTCCATTTTAATTGAGTATAACTAATAAAATAATATACTTAAGGTATACACCTCATGTTTTGAAATACTGTGAAACCATTACTACGATTAAGCCGATTAACTTAACCATGATTCACATGCTTAGAGCAATTCATCTCTTCAACTGAGAAGTACTTGATAACACAAGTTAAAAGATACTCTTTAACAAAAAGAAAATCCACTGAATATCTTTGTCACAAAGACAGATCAATGTTGTAAAATGAACACCAGTCTAGAGAATGTCTTGGTAAACCTAATAAATACCTGGATAGATTTTAAAAACAAAAATTGGCGGTACCCCATAATACTGCTTTGTAGCCTGTTGTTTCACTGAACGGAGTATCGTAGACTCCTTCTCACCTCAATACATTCAAGTCAGCATCTTGATTTCTTCATAACATAATTAAAAACTTTTCCATCCTCCGTATTGCCCTTCTCTCCCATTTTCCCTCTGTATTCGCTTCCTCTTGTGCAACTATGGTGCCATTCGACTTTCATGGCCTTTTTTTTTTTTAGATTCCACATATTAGGGAAAGTATTTCTGATTCTGGCTTATTTTGCTTAACACAATTTGCAGTTCCAGCCATTACCCTGCAAATAACGTAGCTTGGCAGGCAGTACTGAACTCTCTTCTGGTGAGAACTGTGGCAGAACTCTATAGTCTATCACTGACTGTGTTTTAACAATCATTTATGAGCCTTAATCGGGATAAGAGTGTTATCTGTCTAGTCTTGTTCCTTCAGGATACCCTGATCTATTATTTTGGTGAAATGAGATGGAACCTTTTCACATATGAATGTGGTGATTCACTGAAGGCAATTTCTTATCTATACAGTCAACACAAAAACCTAGAGAGACTGCTGTGAATGGCTTATCATGATCATGTAATAACTGTAGACTCGATTGCAGCCAAAACTATAATAAGGTAACTTCAGGCCAACACACTCAGCCCCATGATCCTCTGTGTAAGAGACTGATGGATTTCTCCAAGTGTCAGGGATGACCTTCTTCTTTGGGTCCTTCATTCACATAGTGGCTTGGCGAGTCTCGCCTATCCTTTTAGGAACAGTATCATTAGCTCTGTGTGTTCTTTTGCCTGTAAACACCCAAGGCTACAGTTCTCCTAAGCAGCATGAATGAGTGGTTTGAAGGTAAAGTACAGATCTTTGGCGCCTGCAATAGGACTGCTGGATTTACATTTTGGCTCTCTTGCTTGCTAACTGTGTGCCAGGAGCAATTTGCTAAAGTGTCTGTATCTCAATTTGTCAAATTGAGTTAATAATAGTGGTACACCATAGGCTATTTTGAAGATTACATTAGATCAAATAGATGACAGTTAGTATAGTGCATGATAAGCACCAATTAAGTCATTGCTATAACAATTAACTACTGAATTAACTACTCAGTCTTTATGTGTTGATTGCTAAGGAAAAGTTTTGTTTTTCTACAATATCTCTACAAAGTGCTGACTGTGGCTCACTTGCTGCAGCTCTTCCAGTCTCTTAATTTGCATTGTTTTCCTTTGAGAACTGCATCCTCTTGGGGATTTTATGGTGCTGGGAAAGCTTTGGGCAGGGGAGGGGCTGAGAACCCCTCTTTGGCTATGTCAGTAATTGCTCAGTCTAAGAGACATCCTAATTTTGGAGACACGTGTGTGATGGTCCTCTGTCTGGTAGACTCCATCCCTCTGAACTTCTGCACAAATGAGTCAGGAGGGGCACAGGGCTCCCTGCTCAATCAGCTGCAGAGAGATTTTTGGTAGATGACACAGGTTCAGTGGAAATGCCTGCAGTAAGCTATTTGTGGCACATACAGTTCCCAGGGCTGATTTACACGTGGAAAGGGAGTTGGGAAAGGTTGTCAGGAAAAACACCTGAGGCGGATAACAGACCCAGGCCAGGGCAGTGGGGAAGAGGAGTCATGGTACAGCCACAGCAGAGACCTAAGTGGGTCCCAAGTAAACTCAGGACTCTTGAGTGTTGTCCTAAACCTCAGTCAGTCACTGGGTGCAGCTGTCCCTGAGAGGGTGGTGATTGGGCATGTGACTTCATTCAGCTATGGGCAAAGCCATTCAGTGTAAGGATTAAGCTTAGTTGTGAACAAAATCCAGTTGCTAAGTAGGTTACTCCTTAATTGTTTCTAGTGATTTGCCTGGCAAAACTGGGAGCCATTTTCCTTTTTTCTTTTATGTGAAATGCCAGCAACTAATATCTCTGCTGGACAGTACAGCATCATCTTTTATTTTTGCACTACAGAAGTGTTCTCTACTGAGAGAATCTGACTCTCTCCCGTCCCATATTCTCTAAGGTGACTTCCTTCCCTTTCAAGCTTCACCTTCGTATTCCCCCTAATCTGTAGACTTGTCCTACCACTGCTTGTCCTTCATAACTTAGGCTGCTAAACCATTGAGAGGGATGCTGGGGCACAGCTGCCTAAGGTCCAGCCGAGCTCTGCCCCAACCTGCATGTGTTTTCCATAAGCCATTGTATGTCTCACTTTCCCACCACACGGGGTGGGGGGCAGATCAAGTAACCCTCATGGCCAACTCCTCCCAAAAGTTTTGAATTCTACAGCCTGGTGTAGATCACAGAGCTTGGGTTTGCTGGACTCAAACATTCTTGCAAGACTCACACACAGGTGCTTCGACAATTAGGATCCTCGTTTTTGTAAATTAAACAGGTGAGAGGACTTAAGCCCCACAAGTAAGCCCTCCACTGAGACCTAGCGGGAAGTGGGATAATAAAGAAAGGATCTGTAGGAAATTAAAGAAGTCCTTACACTGAGCCTTAGTTCAAACTAAATGTCTAATATAAGCTTCAGATTTTACTACCATGAGGGAAAATAAAGTATGCTAGTATCCCCTCAGGATGTCTTTCATAAACAGACAGGGTGTGGATTTTATATTAAAGAGCTTGATTGAAGATGAAGTAGGTAATTTACATGTCATTATTATAAACACATTTTTTCTCTCAATTTTAATAAATGAAGCTCAGGATTTCAGGGTTATTCTACATAGTTTTCTAAGCTCAATAATAATTTTTTACTGCAAAGACTGGAAAAGCTATCATTTAAAATATTTGATAATTTTAAACTGGTATCAAAAAAGCTAGTA